TAATTCCTTAAAATGCATGGAGAGCTAAAATTTACATCATAAATGATGAAGCTACATATGGTAAAGAAAAGACAAGTATTTTTATACCTGGGAAGTCCTCGTGTAGTGGTGAGCTTTAAAAACAGTGCTTACTTACCTTGGTCTGGCAGAGAGAAGAGAGGTGGCTGTGAGTCTGGGGAGTGCATGAACAGAGCTCCAGTGAGAGTCCTGAATATATGTCCTGCCATGAGGGGGAGGGTTCATAATGAAGAGTAGTGGGTCGTGACTTTGGCAAAGAAGAGCAGAGGGCTCTAAATATGCCAGTAGCCTCTTCCTTATTTTTCGCTCCTTTATTGCAGAGTTTCTCAGTCATGCTTTGTGAAAGGTGGCTGACCTGTGCTGGAAGGGAGTGACACCCTCTGGTTTTAAGGCTCTGCCACCTGTGTGGCCTGAAAAGGTAGTATATAAATGGGAGATTTTCCCCTTCCACGTCTGTTTTCATAGAATGCAGATCTAAGGAAACACAAGGCAGATCCTCTGCATTTTCCTGTCATCGTGCTCTGTCAGGGCAGCAGAGGTAGAGTGGAACACCTGGACCTGGGATAGAACCACATTTTAATCTCGTGATATCACTCAGATCTGCCATGTTGCCAGGCTTCCATTTCTTCATCTACAAAGGTCATCTGCGATGCTTGATGACTCTTGACACGTTGGCTCTATATACTAGTCTAGAAATTCAGACAGGATGTGAGCTTTATCCTCTGTTACTTCAGCATGCACTCTGAATAAATAATAGGACCTTTAGTGGTAGCAGTTAACCTGGGATCCTGAGGAAAGTGAGTGTGCTAACTAACCTTCCTACAGGCCATGCATTTCTCCTGTCCTGGCCCTTTTTCTCCTTCATTTCTTCTCTCCATGGCTCCTCCCCAGAGACACTGGGTCTAAGTATACGGGGAACAACACCGGAGGCAAAACAGAGGCATTTGTTCACTAGAGGCAACTGTCATTTGCGTGCCACTCTCTGAAACATGAGGTCAAGCAATATAATGATGCTTGGGAAGAGCTTTGAACATTTTTCAAAGAGAGTTTTAAAAAGTTTTATAGTATGGAATGGTATTTGAATTACGTTTTAGATTTGATGTCAACATTGCTTAATGCTTATTATATCATTTTTAATGTGTCAAAAATGTACCAGCTATTATACAGAGTTCCTGATCTCTAGACTAATTATTCATTCATTTATCTCTCCATCAATACACCTACATTTAAAAAACAAAATTTAAGCTCTTACAATGTAGAAGGCTCTGAGGGATGAGAGAGGAAAATAAATCATGACTTTTACCATCCAAGGCTTACTTTACAGTTGGAAAGAACAGGCTAAGACACAGCTAATAACTTAGTAAAGTAATGACTAAAAACCCAAAAGAGTGATATGGAAAATAAGTGCTATTGGGACAGGAATGAAATACAAAATTATGTAATAGAGCAGTTGGGGAGGGGGCAACCAAATCATAGAAGGGGAAGAAGATTCTTAGAGGAGAGCTGCTCTACAGAGAAGTCATGTATTATGTGTTCCAATGGAAAGAATGCCAGGAGGGGGTTAATAAAAAGTACTTGGGTTTTATTTGAGATTTGTTGAAGCAATAACTCCTACCATTTAAAAGGCCCCAATGAAGCTTTGAAGTTCACACCTCATTGCCAGAAGTATGGCTTTTCATTATGCACGTTTATGCCCTTGCCTTAAAAAAGCAGGACAGAGGACTCTGAACATGCCAGTGTACGTACCCCCTGGACTCAAGGCCCCTTTTTCCTTTTCTCTGCCTGACCTGCCTCCTCAGCTAGGGTGTGTAAATTCCACTGCTAACAGGGGATGGTACATGGGTATGGTATTTCCTAGCTGACAGCCTCAAATGGCAAGGGCCCAGTCTGTTACTCTTTTTTTAACTACTATTTCCTTTCATTCTAGAGGTCTCTTTGCCCATTTTCAGCCAACCATTATTTATTGAGAGCCTACTAGATGAGAAAATGTAAGTTGAAGTACTAGGTAAAGGCCTGGAAATGTCAAGTATTATTGTTATTAAGCACCGAAGGGGAGACAAACAAGGATTAGACAGATCACTGCCCTCAACAGCTCTCTTTAGTCAGGAGTTAAGCATGACCCAAGATAGCTAGCATTAGAAAGCAGTGAAAGATGCTGAGTGGCGGATTGCAGGCCACAAAAATTAAAGATCAGAGGTTTTCTTTTATTCTCTCTTATCTTGATTTCACATCCAAGAAACCTGGTTGGGTAGAAAGGCTATTTCTTTTTTCCCCATAGACCTTGGGAGGAGGGGCAAGATATTTTTTACTTTTAACATTAATGTTATTTTTATTTGTGCTTCATGGGCATTTTATTAACATATTCTTCCCCATGTATATTAGGTTGTGAAAAACTTTTGCTGTTGCTGCTGTTTTAATGAGCAAGGTTTTTGCATCTCTGTTTATGACAACTTCATTCATTTGCAAGCTGTCTAACTGCGGCAAGGGGTGCAGATACCAGTTCTGGAATGAAATGCATCTGTAGGAAACCAGCAGGTCCTAAGGGAATCAAACCCTTGACCTTGGTCTCATTCATATTATGACATGAGCAAATGAATGAATTGCTTACTCTTTAGTAGGTTGGATCAACAAGACCTCAAAGAGTTGTTAATAGTATCCCAAAGACAGTAACTCTCATTGAGGCGACACGTAGGCCCTAGAAGAGCCTACTGCAATAATTTTAGGTGAATTTATTTAGACAAATAGACTTTTAAGGCAGGATATTTATACATCTGTGATTGTGTCAACCAAATTGCTTTAGGGTAACTAAGATTGCAAAAAGGTCAGAAGTCAAAGCAGTCCATCTAGTTTATGGCTCAGCCTCTCTCAAGCTGTGTGATTTTGTAGAGTAAATGGCTCCCTTTCTCCAGATCTCAGTTTCTCTATTTATCAACAGGTTAGACTAGGATTATCTAAACAGCAAATGAAGGGTTTGGATTTTTCCATCAGAGTACCCCAACCAGCAGAGGAAGGTAAATGGGTACCTTAGTTGATCTGGAAGCATAGTCTAAAACTTCACAAGTGCAAAATTTTGTTGAAGTCATATTTTGTTTGTCTAAAAATTCACCCAAGTGTTGCATCTACTCCACATCGTATTCATGTTTGCTGTAAAGTGTACCCCTGACTCGAAGTTGAATGAAACCAGCCCATTGGGAAGATGCACCATGTTTATCTCGGGCTTCAAGTAACTCCTGGTAGTGCTAGCTTTATTTAATCAGTAGTCAGATTTCAGTTGTAGTCAGACGTTTTAAACTGTCTCTGAGGAGCTTTGAAGCTACAAGGCATATCACTGAGGCAGTTACTGAGCTTTGGTTTTACATTTATAAACTTAGATTGGGTTAATAGTACTTTTAGAACTCTTCCAGACTTTCATCTCAACCCTTTTAATGAGTACACAATACATTTTCTCTTTAGTTGATATAATATCGAGATCTGTTTTTTAAATTTGTAGCTGTAATGTGTCTAGCGACACAGGAATGAGTAATTTAGGACACACTGTCAACTTAACCCAAGAAGGCGGTCTAAAAGAAGATCTGAGTTCACATACAAAACAGAGATTAGCAGTATAGATACAACCCTATTCAGTGAAAGAAAATTTAATTATATCATTTGCTTCAGCAACAATTTTAAATTGACAGTTTTAAATTTTAAAATGAGGAAGGGGTCTCCTCATTATGGATTATTATATAAGTGATCTCATGTGATACCGTAGCAAATTGTTAACATTCATTCTTTATATAACACTTCTTGATAACACAAAATGACTAAGCAAATTCCAGAAAATTCTGTTTTTTTGTAAGTTATAAAAATTACGTTGAAATAATCCCTTGAAAGTTTACATTAGTGCTCTCTGCCCAGAAGGAGTTACTCCTCAAGACATTATAGTCTCAAATGGCTAGAAATGATTGGTCAAAGTTCTGTAAAACTAGCGGAAATTTGTTGCGTTGTTTTCTATAAATCACAACCGGCACTCATTAATTGAAAAATGAATGTCAGTTTGCATTAGCTGGCATCTATAAACCAAAAAGGTACAGTGATCCTGGCATGTTATGGATAATAAAAATAGCAAAATATATCAGGTAAAATAGAAAAAGTGGGTGGGAGTGGAGGGATAAGTTCAAAACCATGTTGTAGTTTATTGGCATGAGCCACACATAAAGGGCTTTAATGAGGCTTCTGCATCAAAATAAGGGAAACCACATGGAATTTTAATTAGGGCTACAGTATATTTTAAGTACAAATACCCACAAGAAGCGTTTTTTACATTGACAAGCCTGTCTGTGTGATCTTGGTGCCTCTGTGGAGGGGCAAACATTGATGTCTTAAGTGTGACTTCTTCCTTTATGAAATTGCTCACATTATTCTGGTTTCTTTCACATGATCTGAGCATTGAACTTAATGTGTACAGAAGTGGCCTGCCTATAACTATTACCTCTGCCAACTCAAGTTCGCCTTAGCTCTGCAGTGAAAAGGCTGGCTGAGGAACATCTGTGACCTCCATATTGTGCCTGTATCATGTAAGGTGATACATAAGCCTGGGGTGAGAGAGATGTTAAATCTCACCTGCTCCCATTTTCAAGTCTGTCATAATCCCTACTTCTACATTTTTAAACTTGAGCTTGTCAGAATTTCGTATTTGGGAGGGGTTAGGTAGAGGCCAGTTGAGGATGGAAGAATTTATAAAAAGCAGAGTAACTGCCCAGACTATGTTAGTTTTGGTTTGTCATCTTGAAAGTGTTTGTTTCTGGTATTAGAAGCTGCCTACTAGCTTTTTACCCTCTGCTTATGGGCTTGTGGATTCCAGGGGAAAGTACTAATGAGGGGTGGGAACTTCTCTGCCTCCCCTCCCCTAAGGCTGTTGCTTCTCCTTCTGTCTTGGAATTCATGGTGATAGAACCTTAGAGCTGGAAGGGAACTTAGAGCTCATCCCCCTCATTTTACAGATGATGACACTGCCACCTCTGACTTCTGCCTCTGGCCTTCCACTCTCAGTAAGAAGAGCCAGGCAGGTGAGACTTTTAACAATTGCTGGGCTGGGCTGGGTGGGGCTGTCTGATTGCTACTGTCAGATTTGTGAGAAAAACTTTTGTTAACTATACATTACTTTTAAATAGTCACTTTTTGTTACAAATGCACATCGTGGCACTTACCCCTGGCATTTTATGAAGCTTAAAAGACAGTGTGCATTTTAATAAAAATTAACAACTCTCAATCAGCACCTTTAAAGAAAAGTATTAGGATTATTCCTTTAATAAATATTGTAGCATCCAAGAACAAATGCTAAAAAAAAATGGGGCTGAAGAAGTACCTACTCACCAAGGCCTTCAAGAATTACTAAGCGCTTTCCCTTATAGATAAGCTTATAGGAAAAGCAAATATATGAGATCTGAAGAATTGGAAGATTTTAGATATGATCAAAATCTTAAGAACACTGGTATTATATAAAAGGGCTTGTCAAAATTCTGTCAGTTTTAGAATATCATAACCCAATCTTTGAAAACTGATTTCCACACGAAGTGGTTCGTAACTTTGGTTTCTTAAGTTAAGCACCAAAAATATCTATTAAGGAAACATACTGTTAGCTTTAGAAGCTAAAGGACTTAACATTTTAGGGGAAAACCATCTTTGCCTCCAGGTTACCGGTTCAAATCGGCCTGCAGCTAATTCTCTAGGATGTGGCACAGGGGCCTGGTAAGTGGGTGGGGAAGTGCCTTCCTCACATCTGCCCTACACAGCGAGCCTTTCACAAAAGCTGTTGTAGGCACCTGGCCTAAATCAGGTCCTGTGTCTTCTGTCAAGGCTTGAAATGCAGTGATTTCCAGGCACAAAGCCTGCCCCAACCCCCTACACTTTTAAAGCCTCCTTATTTGCTTTATGATCTTTGGGAGAACTTTTAAGGGCTAGGATCTCCCTATATGCCCCCAGATAAGTAATATAGTTCCAGAATACATTGAAATCAGGTTTGATTTCAATCTTTTTTTTTTTTTTTTTTGAAATCTGTTACAAAGAGGAAGACCGAAACAAGATTTTAAATTATTTGAAGAGTTGAAAAGAAGCAATAGGAACCTGTTAGGGTATATTTTCGAAGTTCCTTCATCGATGAAAGGGGGCCCTGCCAAGAGTACCAGTAACAAAACTGATCATCTTGGAATTTCTTTGTATTGGGTTGAGAAAAAGAAGCTTGTCTGACTTAGTAAAAATGTCACTTTCAATATCTGATATGCAACGAGAAACAAAAAGAGAAAAAACATTAATGAAGAGTCAGTCTTAAAGTCTGGTGAGTGAATCTATATGATCAGAGTGTTGGGTTGGTTTACACATATGACCTAGCACACATTGGGTTTTTAAAGCCCTTTGGGATTCTCCGGGGATGAAGAACTTAAAGATAAATGCTGCTAAGACTGTAAAGTGGAAAGAAAAAAAAGACTATGTAGTGACCGGTACATTTGAAGATCTGTTTGTGGCTTGCTGTTCCTTTTTGGGAAGCTAAAGTTTTCTTTTTTCTTGTAAAAATTCTATCATTATTTTAATTGATATTTACAGATTTTTTTCCCCCATCTTCTGTTATAATTTTTAGGTGCTTCAGAACTGGGCCCTTTTTCAGACCCCAGGCAGTTCCCCAGCATTTCATCCCTCACTGAGAGCCGCTTCTCCAACCCACGAATGCACTATCCAGCCACCTTTACTTACACCCCGCCAGTCACCTCAGGCATGTCCCTCGGTATGTCCGCCACCACTCACTACCACACCTACCTGCCACCACCCTACCCCGGCTCTTCCCAAAGCCAGAGCGGACCCTTCCAGACCAGCAGCACTCCATATCTCTACTATGGCACTTCATCAGGATCTTATCAGTTCCCCATGGTGCCGGGGGGAGACCGGTCTCCTTCCAGAATGCTTCCGCCATGCACCACCACCTCGAATGGCAGCACGCTATTAAATCCAAATTTGCCTAACCAGAATGATGGTGTTGACGCTGATGGAAGCCACAGCAGTTCCCCAACTGTTTTGAATTCTAGTGGCAGAATGGATGAATCTGTTTGGCGACCATATTGAAATTCCTCAGCGGTGGCCCAGCGGTATCTGGGAGCCACAACCCAAATGTATCAATATATACATATATAGAGAGAGTGCATATATATGTATATCAATTAGCTATCTACAAAGTGCCTACTTTTTAGAAGATTTTTTCATTCACTCAGTCATGAGTTTGCAACCATAGAGGGTTGATAATCGAGAAGCAAAAGGCCCAAGAGAGATGATCCTAATCAGGTTTCAGCTGGTTTTCTATTTTTCTTTAAATAGAAAAAAATGTACTTTCACAAACAAAGGGAAAAGATATTTTTGTTGCTGTTGTTGTTTGGCTTATTATAAATAACGTTTCATATGCCAATTCAGAGAGGTGGACTCCAGGTTCAGGAGGAAGAAGAGCAAAGCCGCTTCCTCTCTGTGCTTTGAAACCACACATCCTCACGGTTGCAGCTGTGTATGGACCAGTGCACTTTGCAGACCAGCTTACAAAGCCAGTCGAGGTGCACGTAAAGGGAAAAGAGGTAGAATGGAAGCTTCCATTACAGTATCACTGTTCCAAACTTTGCTTTCAGACTTGCTGCAAGTACTCATTTGAACTGTTTGGTTCAGTTTTTTTTCTCCCTACTTTAAGAAAGTGACTTCAAAAGTACTGATCAGGATAGGTTATTTTATTTTACTTTTTAATGCTTTTTCCTCCCTTTTCCCATTTAACTAAAAAGAAAGACCATCCCAAACCCCTCTTCTCCTTTTATGCAAAACTGAAAATGGCAATATCTTATTATAGCCATAATGGTATAGATAGTGTTTGTGTTTGGCTGTGTGTTATTTGTTTCTTTTTTTTTTTAAATTATGAATATGTGTAAAATCTGAGGTAACTTGCTAAGTGAATGGTCATATAACTTTAAAGATATATTTATAATTATTTAATGACATTTGGACCCTTGAAACATTTCTTAGTGTATTGATATGTTGACTTCGGTCTCTAAAAGTGCTCTTTATTAAATAACAAATTTCTTCAGTGGGCTAGAGCCATACCTGGAATATTGCTAAGCAATCAGTTCATCCAGGCACAATGTGATTTTTAAAAATACTTCCATCTCCAAATATTTTAGATGTAGCTTGTTTTTGTATGAAGGAAATGTTATGCTTAGTTCTTTCAGATCTTTGACTGCCTCTAACACAGCTTTGCCTTTTAAAGCAATAATTAGGGATTAAAAAAATAACTCTTAGCTCTTTATCACTTATGTTGCCCTTTATCAGCATAAAATGCTGGAATTATGTGATTTCCTCATTTCTTTCAAATAACAATGACTTGTCTTATTAAAAAGACAAGGGAATCTTTGAACTGCGGAAAAATGTTCTGTGGTTTCACAGTTAAAGCAGAACCCTAAATCGCCAGGCTTCATAGTGAAGATGTAGTGAGCTGAAAGCCACACGTGTGGCCAAAGGATCAATCACGATATACATAGCACAGGAAAGCAAAATTGCACCAGAGATTCTTAACCAACCTGCCTTACCAAACAGTAGGCCTGGGGAACCCAAATTTGCCGTACCCAAGGGCCTGCTGGCAGCTCTCCACAGATTTTGCATTTAAAGGAGCAGAATTAAGTCATTGTCTTATGGGAGCAGAGTCATCTGAAATAGCAGGCAAGTTCCAGCAGATAGCTGATCTGGGAGAACATACAGCCTGTGACATCCCATATACAACCTTAGACAGTCATATTTCTCACGGTGGAGGAAAAGGAAAGGCAAAGCTATGTGGAGTTTGGTGTCTACTACCGTGTATGAATTTGAGCTAAAGCCCTCCTATAGGATGCACTTTGACCACTCCTGGTGGCCACATGGCAAATTCTCAAGTGTGAAGTTTTAATCTAAACCAGGATTATTTCACGACACCACCAGGCAAATCCCTGCCCTCCTCCTCCACAGGTCAAGGGCCCTTCATTTGAATTCTGTGCCCCATATCCCCAAGAAGAACTTTGTAGAGATTTGCCTCCATCCCCCACAAGCCCCTTGCTCTCTTTAGTCATTCTCATGCCCACCTTTCTAGGCCACCAAGCATTGCAGGACAGCTTGTGGGGCAGTTGGACCTGTGCTTCTTGCCTGGGAGTCCCTGTTAGAATTCATCCTGACTCTTAATAAAAATTGAGGGGAAACTAAACCAAAACAAAACACTTTGCCTTCTAAAGGTTGTATACCAAGTATGCTTAGATAAATAAGCCACTTTTCTATTACTTAAGATGGAAGTAGTAATTGATACTATTTATTGTGTGTGTGGTAGCTTGAAGCACGCCACTGTCCATTTATTTGTAAGTGTAAAACGTGTGTTTGTTTCAGCAGCACTTAAAAAAGCCAGTGTCTGGTTACACATTTCACTTTTAATTAATTGACATAAAAATGTTACCGCCAGTGCCAGCTGTACCCTATTTAATAAAAAGGTACTATATTTGTACATTATTTTGTAATGTTAAAAGGGCTTTTTTAAGTTTACAGTACACATACTAAGTGACTTTAGGGATGTTTTTGTGTTGAAATGTTATAGTGGCTGCAGGCAGCAACCCAGAAACACTTAAAAATTTTTCTTGGGAAAAATTCAAGCACTTCTTCCTTTCACCCTCATTCCAACCACTCCACTGGGGTAATTCACATTTTTTTTTTTTTTTTTAGATCAAATTCTGCCCTTTTTTGGCCTGGGAGTTAAATTATTCTTTTACCTATTTTTTTTTTTTTTAACAGAACCCTTAATTTGCACTGGGTCATGTGTATGATTTGTGATTTCAAGACCAAAGCAAAGCCTTACTTCTGTGGAACCACATACTAGCCAACATTCTATTTCCTTCAGGTTAAAAAGAGCTCAGCTCTTTATGTAGCATAAATGTTGCTGAAGTTTACAGCATGACCAACGTAGCCGCTTTCTTTAATGTTTCAGTTGACTCACAAATTTTAACCTGTGTCAGAATTCCAGAACAGGTACCACAGCTTTGGTTGTAGATCAGTGGAACAATAACTAGCCTGGAACTGAGAGACTCAGCAGATTAGCTATTGTTTGCTCTTTAGACTATCTTACCCCGCCAGGACCTTTTGAAAATGAGCAGAAAAATCCACCCCATGAGGGACCATCCGTTGCAAATTCAGAGGGGAGGAGATGTGTGTGCTGGCTTAAAGAGTTCCTTCCATTCCCGGGAAAGGGGCTGGCTCAGAGTCTAGGTTAATACATGGAAACACAATGCATTAGCCAAATCAATAATTATATCTATGATGTCCGAAAGAATAATAACAAATAAAATAAATAAAAGATGACTCTTCCAAACCTTGAATTTGTTGTTTTTTTAAAAAATAATGCATTTAAAAAATATTTTCTATGTGAGAATTTTTTAGATGTTTGTTTACTTCATGTTTACAAATAACTGTTTGCTTTTTACTGCAGTACTTTGAAATATATCAGCCAAAACCATAACTTACAGTAATTTCTTAGGTATTCTGGATAAAATTCCATTTTTTTGGATATGCTTTACCATTCTTAGATTTCTGTGGAACAAAAATATTTGTAGCATTTTGTGTAAATACAAGCTTTTCATTTTTATTTTTTCCAATCGCTGTTGCCCAAGATTTGCTTTCCATGCACATATTGTACAAATTCTGCTTTGTGCCACAGGTCATGATTGTGGATGAGTTTACTCTTAACTTCAAAGGGACTATTTGTATTGTATGTTGCAACTGTAAATTGAATTATTTGGCATTTTTCTCATGATTGTAATATTAATTTGAAGTTTGAATTTAATTTTCAATAAAATGGCTTTTTTGGTTTTGTCATGTGTGTACATTGGGTCTTTTCTCATCCGCGGTTTCTTCTCTAATCTGACGCCTACTCCTGCCTACACCTGGGCACTTACTAGTCACAGGACTTGCTAGGTCTGAATGAGAGCAGGGATCCTATATTACTGGTGCGAGGAAAAAAATCTTGATAAGCACTGGGTTCTTATTTTGTCCTATTCCTGGAGAAGGGTGGGCGAAGAATCTGGCAGTAAACTCTCTTCGTTATCTGCCTGTGTCTGGAGGAAGGAGTGCTCACCCCATCTGTGGGTAAAGCCCCTTATGGGGGACCAAACCATGGGACCAGTCAGGGCGTAAAGACAGCAGCCTCGATGGTTCCGTGACTCTAATCTCTGGGCACATGAACAGAGGCCAGCAAATGAACCTCTGGCTATAGTCAGAAGACTCCAGGCAGCCCAGCCACAGCGGGGAGTCATTGTTCCTTCCCACATCTCTTTAGGGTTCTTAAACAGAAAGTAAGCCAAAGCCCGAGGATGAGTAAAAACGGAGTTTGGCCCAGAGAGCTCCAGCCTCAGAAGAATTCTACTAAGCCGGCATAACTATAGTTTGCAGATTTTTTTTCTGGGCCATTGTTTGTTTTCGGTAAGTCCCTCCCCTGTGATGAGGTTGAGGGCCTGAGTAGAGTGGTGGCTTTCTTTATGTCCTGTGCTGTCCGTACGCCTCGGCTAACCACAGATCTAAAAGAGGGACCAGGAAACCATGATGCAGAGAAGCTCAGTGACTGGCCAATGGCCCATATCGCCCTAGAGTCAGAGGCTTCCTTTATGAAGATCTGCTCATTCTCAGCCCTTTGGCACTGAGTTTTCTGAGAAATCAGGGAAACAGCTATTTTCTGAGACTAGGAGACATCCTAAAAGCACTTGGGTGAATCTAGGCTAGGACATTTGTTTGCAACTCTTTGGAGATGTATATTTATTTGTCTCTTTAAATCAAACATCTGTGTGACTTTAAAAGGTATCGCATGGGAGGTGGAGGTGGGCACAGTGGTGTTCTTTTCCTCCCCAGGTTTGTCAGCAGCATGGTTTCAGGCCAATCACTTTACTCTTCCAAGTCTGAGTTCCTTGGTTTATGGAAAGGCACTGAGCTAGACCTTGGCACTACTGACGTTTCAGGCTGGATAATTTTTTGGTGTGTGTGTAGCGAGTGCTATCCTGTGCATTGTAGGATGTTTAGCAGCATTCCTGGCTTCTACCCACTAGATGCCAATAGCACCACCCCAGTCCTGACAATGAAAAATGTTTCCAGACATTGCCAAATGTCCCCTGGGAGGAAAAATTCCCCCCACCCCCCCACTCCCAATTATTGAGACTCACAGGGCTAGAGGGTCTCTAAATTCTTAAGTTGGGCTTTATTGACAGATCTGGTACGCAGAAACTTTGCTCATTAAAACATTATAGGCAGGCAGAGGACTGAATGATGGATGTACATCAATCTTTTTCATCCCTTCATCTGATGGCACCCTGAGGTTTGGATGTGTTGTGAAGGAGGCTCCTGGCTTTCCCATCTGTACTTGGTCCCTCCTTCCCACATCACAGCTGTGTAGCCAGTAAATAGTACAGCTGTGGGCTTTGTTAGGCCTGGGCTCCTTGTCCATATTTATCATGGCTGCTTCTGTTTCTTACTAGAAACGACAGACAGAAGAAGAAAGCAATTTCTTAGTGTTTTTGACCTCTTGTGCCCCCTGCCCCCCAAATATTTAATCATCAGACATTTCTTTGAGAGTGGGTGTTTCCTGTTAACTCAGTCCCAGCCGAGACGGGCCCAATAAACACCTCAGCTCTCTGTCGCAGAGTTTATTTGGCTGGGAAATGGGTATTGCCATGTAAACAGGAAGCCCCCTGAAGTTATTATCTACAGATGCGGTTGAAGAGCCACATGTTTATATTTATGGGATTTGAAAACAGTGAACAGGCAAAAGAGGAGGTGGGGAAGCCCTCATTCACAGTCAGTGAGTGAGAGGGGCCTACAGAACTTCATGAGTTTATTTTTTCATTCCCTCTGGAAACGGGTGGTTAACAATAATGACACAGCCGTGAGCCAGCATAGAAATAGAGGTACTAGTGTCTGATTTAAGCAAACAACCCTACCTAGATTATCAGGTAAACAGTAGGCAATCCAGGCAACTGACCTCTCTGTTCCCATCATTCAAAAATCATTTTAGAGACCAGTTTTAGGAAATGATGGTTTGGGGGGTGCTTCTAAAAAGGTAGGAGGCTTATATGATAAGACTGTCCACTAAGTTTTTCTGGGGACAACACAACTGACTGCCACAGTTTTAGAGAGCACATGAGATCCCAGGCAAACTCATGCACCTAAGGGGCCAGGAAAAGGGTGCCTTCAGTGAGAGCTGCCCAGGTGTTGGTGCAGAGGATGTGCAAGTAGTGAGACAGCTGGCCTGCACACTAGGACTAGGTACACCTGACTATTCCAATTTGTTTTCCATCCACCTCTGCTCTTCTTTCATTGGCTCCCTCCTTGGGCCTGAAGAAGGTGCTTAAGGGAGGCCAGGTAGGAACCGAGACATGGATAGCTGCTGCCTTCTATTTAAATTATGATCTCTGAGCAAGGACAAAAGAATCGCTCCTTCTTACAACTATTCCTGTGCACTCTGTGACTTCCCACAAGTTTCTCAGCAGTAGCTATTCAGTCAGAAGGGCTTGGAAGTGAAGTTTTAAAATAAGTTATGAGTCAAAATTTAGCAATGAAAAGGATCCACTTCAATGTAATATATCTTAAGAGGTGTGTGCGTGCACGTGCCTAAAGGGACGGAGGAGGGTGAAGGGATGGAGAGAGGTGCTTGAGTAGTCATTCAGGGAAAAATGAAGCCCACTGTGTACACGCACACATGCTTCTTGACACACATTTACTTGGCTCAGGTGTTCGTTATTCTTACAAATTCTGCAGAAACATCACCTTCGTCTTGCAGGTGGTGAAGAAGCAATTACTCTTCTTCAAATAAGTTATCTAGAGAGGACAAGGGACACTGATGCTCCCTGAGATGTTAGGAGCATAGTGAAGCTGATATTTAAGAAGGGGTTATTATGAATTTTTGTAAAGCTTTATTCAAAAGCTTTTTGTGACTCAACTGGCCCTGCTGTTCAGACATGCTCAGCAGTTGGAAGGCAGAAGGATCAAGTTTCTGGGAACTCACTTAACTTTGACTAAAACTTATTTTAATTTTTTTTCTTATTATCTTGTTTCAATAAAGTCTGGACACTTAGTGGGGTTTTCTGGAAAGCCTGCTCTATGTTTCAGCATTGCAAATGTAGCTCAATTCTTGATTGCTATCTTTTCATCCCAGATCATTCTGTCTCATTCCATAGCCAACAGAAAGGGAAGAATTCCACCCCTCCGCCCCCCA